GCCGGTTGCCCATTTGCTTGATGTATTTTAAAAGACCGTTCACCCAACAAAGTTCATCGTGTAAAATGAAAAATGTTGTCACGGCGAGTGCTTTGCTGTTGTTTTGCTGTGAAAAGCCCCAAAATTTCTCTTTTTCGAAAGAAAAATTGGCAAAAACGAGGAGGAGGAGGGACACGAGGAATGGTAAAATTGCAATTGCTTTTATTTTTTTTTTTTTTTTTAATGAATTTTAATATTGTGTAACAGCTGTACAAAACGCATATTGTGACGACTGCCAGAACTGTGCAAGTCGCACCAATGTACTACGTAATTTGCTGCCAAAAAAAAGCATATTTCCGGAATACTGTAGGGAAATGGATTATTGCATGCTCACATACAACACCCGTTCGTTTGTAAGCGTCCCAAGAGTGAGTGAGTGATTGTTTCAGTACGCCAAAATCGAGTGATTCCTCATCGACGACTCCAGTGAGACGCAAAAGAGCTCGATGGCTCGAACTGCGAGGCACTCCGGATGATACTCCGAGCACTCCATCCGAGAAGCAGTGAGCTCCTCTCGCTTTATCACCCATGTTTGTTCTTGCACGAAAAATGTTTGTTTGGATTGCTCGTTAACCTTAGGATTCATTTTTTGGAAAGACGAGGAAGCGGAAGACTGGCATAACAACAATAAATGAGTGAAGAAATAACTGCTAGCATGTGTAACCTCAGTGGATTGAACACCTCAAAGTACTGTCCTGCTCAATGATTTTGCTCGAGAGACCTCAAAATCGAGGAGTTTTCCGAATACCTCTCTGCACTCCCACAGAGAACCACAGCAAGTTTCCTGGCCAAACGCAGCACGTCGATTTCCCTAAAATTCAAAGAATTTAGCATTCATGCGATCTTCAGTAACCCATTAACAGCGATTCTTACATTATTCTTTCTTCTGTACATAAACGGCGCCTTTACTTTCATTACTTGTGTATATACTTTTATTGTTATTTCGTCTTCATTTTGCACGTCAATTTTAGCTCCATAAAGGACTCTTTGGCGAATTGCCAAGGCCCACTTTCTCAAAAATCCCTCAAGCTAAAGTTATGTGCCCCGTAACGTTTTACGAAGCGAAAGCGACTTGCCTTTTTGTTCTGGATGTCGTGAAAGAGCTGCTAATTCGTAGTTTGGTCCTCCAACTCTGCAGCCATCAACTTTGACCAGTTTTTTGTCGTTTGGTGGATATCTTTACAACGACCACGACCTTCACTTCCCGTTCTGAAAAGATTATCTTGGAAAAGCAACTGTTTTAAATCATTTTGTTGAGAAAATACGTGAAAATCGACTAAATCGACTCAAAAATTTCTACCAATTACTTTTTATGAATTATTTTTTGTCCGCCGTTACATCACTTGTATTCTTATGATAGAGCTTTGTTCTTCCAATCCCTCAGATGTGACCGATGTTTTCAGTTTTGTAAATACATGATTTCTGCATTAAATTTATTGAGCTGATATTACGGATCTAGCACCTTCGAGGCACCTTATCTTGCGTAGCAGCAGTACATCAGTATTCATTAAGAACAATACATACCATTAGCGTTCAGTGAAAAGAAAGACCAGTGTTTCATGAAAATGCTACTCGACTACAATACAAAGAATTACCGATAATCGGGATACAAAAATGCGTTAGATAAAATTAGATCGGAGATTATTTTTCATAATTAAGATACCAAAAAATATTCGTGATAATATCTCAATATACGAATTATCATCTCGTCATGAAAAGCCTGGTCAATGTACTTCATTACAGTACGTTTTTCTCGAACAAAATGCGGGATGAAGTGCAGAAAATGCGAAAATTTCACCAATATTCTACACTATCAAATGCTTTTTATAACTGATCATTGAAAGAGAAGGATCACTGTTAAGTACTTATGATTGTTTATAACTGGAGGAATAAATTCTTGAGAGGGAGGACTACAATTTTATACAAAATAGATGCAGAGAAACAATATTATTATTATACCCGCAACTGGAGATCTCTTAAACGAAGACAACTATGAACAAATTTGTGAAAAATTTATTTTCCAAGCAAATAGCATCGTGGTGATAGCCAATTTCAAGCTTCAGAGCACTCGCTTTCCAGTGATTTCCTCCGAGCACCAGTGGCGATGAGAGGCACCGTCGCAACTGCAACTCACACGATTCGGGGTTCCGAGCGTAAAATAGTAAAAAGCACAGAAAAGTAATAATACAGTGTGGCGCAAAATACAAGAAATACTCGAACTGTTCGTATAATCGATGCGCGAGATCCAATGCTAATGATGCTAGGCTCTTCCGCCCTGAGCTGCCAGCAAGGCTTCGGTTAGGAGCATTAATGCCTTTATTCGATGTATGTGCGCCGCTTCTTTTTGG